CCTGTAGGTTTAAATCCGTAAGATTTTTGCGTAGTCTGTATTTTGGGCAGTTATGGATGGCTTTTATTGAAAATATTGAAAAGATAATGAAACCAGACTTTATCACAGAGTTATATCTGATTTAGATGATTAAAGACCATTTTCATAAAAGAACTGAAGTCAGTTTTAGTCGAGATAGACTTTAACTCTAAAATTTTTTACTGTTTTTGTACTGAATCCAGAGTAAGACAGACGTGAGAAAAGCTGACTGCTAACTGTTCCACGGCCTTAATATGGTGGACCTACATGAAAGGAAGACCGCTTAATCCTGTAATGGTCTCTCTGCCTCTTACATGCCTCCGCACATGTCGTCTCTGCACCGGTTGATTTGAGCCAAGATTTAATTACTGTGCCCCTGCATGTCGAGGCGTGAAAGAAACGGAGAGACCATTAAGCGGTCTTCCTTTCATATTTGTCCGCCATATTTAGGCCGTGGACCAGCTAGCACTCAGCTCTTCTCTTTCTTAATGGCCCCATAGTCTTCTTAGGTTAGGATATTTGGCCTAATTTCTATGGCTAATCTTAGATGAAATACTAGTAACACCAGTTGTCTCTTAATTGTAATATGAACCACTATAAATCTATAGTGGATCAGATAGACACCAGTTTTAGGTTATAAACCTAAGGCCAACTTATAAGTTTTATCATGAGACTTGGTGAAGTGCATTTATTTTGCCTAGATCATGCAAACCTTAGTGTTAAAAGGTCACAGGTAACATTAGAGGAGTACTATCCAGCTTCTAGAATTAACTCAAATCTTTACCTGTATTATATTATGGTGTGTCTGTTGAATATATGTTTATAAAATTACTCGTGGGTTCTTTAGCTGTGTAATTATGCAGAGATGAGGAAAAACTTTAAAGTTCTAGATTTTCAGTATTTTCCTGATTGCTTTACTAACTAGTATAGTTAGTGTGTGTTGGCATGTGTTTTTGAGTGCGTGAATCAGTGCGTGCATATGTGCATGTTTCCAGTTCATGTATTGATAGGAGCTAGGAACTTACTTTCCATTCGTGGCAAAAAATGGCATCTGGCATGTTTCTTTTATTTTATTTATCGAGATACTTTGTACAAAGTCCAAGTGGGCGATCTTAGAGATTTTTCTACTAGAAAATTGGCAGCAGCATTGAAACTGTTTTAAGAGTTGGCATGGAAGTTGTCTGCAGATAAGACCTTAAAAAATTGTAGAACTTCACATCAGGTTCAAGTGGTGGTATCTATGAAATTGAAGATTATATATGAAATGGGGCAAATGCATGGTTTTAAAGCTTTTTTTTTACAATCCTTTTTTACAGAAAATTTCCCAAGTGTCTTAGAATATGTTCATGCACAGGTTTAACTTAATTTGTTTTAATCAATCCGTCCTAATAAGTATTAAGTTTGAGATCCTTACGTATCCTGCACAAAATGTTTTAACTGTATAAGTGTCATCAGATGAAGCTTAAATACAGAAGGTGTCTCTACAAAATTTTGTTTTGCGCTGGCTTCAGTGAGTCTAGTTTAGATCTAAGTTACCTCTGATGTGATTGCAGCCCTGCAGACGTTCAAATTCCTCGCATTTAATTGGATATTTTATCGTAAATATTCACATGTGGACCTCAAGCAGGATGTTCTATTATCGCCCACTAAGTTTTCTAATGTAGTTTTTCCAGATAAAGTGAATAAGAAAAAAACTTCATTTTTGTCTCCTGGTGGTAGTTTCCAGAGTGGTTGACTGGTATTCAAGATGTCTGCCAGTACACATGTTCCTGACTCCTGCTGCCTGTTCATGTTTCAGGAACTATTTAGAAAAAAATGAAAAAGAGAATTATTAATTTAGGCTCATGAAAGATATAAGACCATGGTTCATATTCAGACTGGATTATTTTAAAGTGTGCAATAGTTGCTCTCAAAATGGTGGTGGCTGAAAATGAGAAATCGTGAAGCTTTCAGAGACTTGATTTAGAAACAAAAGGATGGTTATAGAAATAGGGCTTTTAGGTATTCAAAGAAAGGAATGAAAATAAAATGAATACTGTACATTCAAAATGATGGTCCCTGTGAAGGTACTCTTATAGATCAGCTTTACGCAGAAATGTGGTAGGGGATTATATCAGCATCAAGGTAATAATAGTACAAAACAGATGGTCACTCTGGTGCATTGCTGGTACTTCATGAATTATGAAATATAGGGGCAGATCCAGAGATATTTTCTGACAGTCTTCCACATTATCTTTGTTGTTCCATCCTCCATTTTTTGACCGTCTTCCGATAGAAAAAATTAGGTACTCATCAATGTAAACTTAGAAATTTGACCGTCTTCTGGAAGACCCAGAAGACAGCCTCAATCCGCCCTGAAATAATGCTGGTACTAGCTAGGCACATTGAGAGTGAACTAAAATGTGGTCTTAGGGACCATTCCCAGATCCTATCGTACTAACCATGGATCAATCTATCTCCGAAGGGATTCTCACTAAATTGCAATCAACTTAAGCGGCTTTGATGACCGCCACGTCTACTGAAGCAGCTAGGGTGTAATTAATTATCGTTTAGCAGCTTCAGTAGGCGTGCCAGACATCTAAGCTGCTTTAGCTAAAAGCAATTTTCTGAGAGACACTTGACAAATGGATCGATCCTGTTAGATCGATCAAGGTATGGGAACCCAGTCTAAAAGTCAAGACAAATTTTAGGGCTGAGGCTCTTTTGTGAAACAAGCCTCAGTTAGTTTTGGTGCTTAGGTAAGACTTTAAAAATTCTACAGGTTAACAACAAAAGTTACATGGGAAAATAGGGCACATTTCTTTTTGGATGAATGGTTTATGAAGATCACTTCTGATACTGTGAGACGCAGGGTGATGTTTCCAGAGCATCCAGATTCTCACCTGGTGATGAGAGACACCTCTTTTACCTGACTCGGGTGCCATGTGTACCTGTTCAAATCCTCACCTGGAGTGAACTTTGCTCATATTAAGATGATGGAGGAGATTAATTTACTGTTGTGGGTTTTTGGAAGCAACTCAGATGTTTGAAGAGGCATGTAGTGGAAAGCAGAAGGAGGCCTGGTATTTTAAACCACAAGTTTCAGGCACAGAATATGTGGATGAGATTTTCCTTCTTTGGAAAAAATTTTGTCTTTTCGTTGTGTAAAAGAGAGTTGAGAACATTGCTGGGTTTTATATGAAAAGATTAGAAAATTGGAAAAATTTGGGGAAAGGGGAAAGTTTCCTGCCTTTTCTCTGCTTTACCTGATACCAATAAACCATGAATACAAGGCTGTGTCAGTCAATTAACATATCAAGGATCTGCCAGTCATCTGCTAATTGCCTCAATTAACAAGGCACGTCTAATTGGCCACCCATTAAGAAGTGCTCAGTACATGTCCATGTCAAGAGATTATAGCAGTTGTTGCTGGGCCAGACTGAACATTTCATTGTACATAGTTGTCTGGTTTTGCAATACAATAATGGGACTAGTAGAGACTATAGAGTGTTTGAGTTATGAGTCTAAAACTTGGGATGTTGACTGACAGGCATGCACACACATGCGAGCAAATATTTGAAAGTGCTCCCACACATGCACAGACGAAGAGATTGTCACAAGTTTTTGCCTCTGTAACTTCAGTTAAAAAGTAATAATGATGATTGTAGATAAAAGGCATCATCTCAAGTACATGTCTTTTATACTAGATAATAATATTCTGAAGAAACAAGTTTAGATGTAATCTTGTGTCATGGTGACCTGTTTAGTGGTCTTGGTAGTACTGATACTATAGCTATACCCAGCTTGCTCAACTGGCAGGATAAATCAGGCTATCTGGCTAACACACACACACACACACGCACATACACACACACACACACACACACACATGCAGTGAGAGAGAACACACACACACACACACACACATGCAGAGAGAGAGAGAGAGAGACTATATATCCTACTTGTTAAAGCTCACAGGTGGGTGTAGATAGTTGTATGCTGTACAGGTGATATGTTGTCTACCTGTCTAATAAGGTGTGCTAACGTGGGGAGGAAGGCGTTGTAATGTCATACCTGACATTATACTTCATCCGTCATGGCAGGTGTGCGATGGAGGGTAGCAGATAGAGCAGGGAGTTATTTATGCAATGGTAGTCACCTGTTTGCTGTTATATATTTGTTTACAATATACTTCCTTATGTTTGGTCTCTCTCTCTCTCTCTCTCTCTCACACACACACACACACACACACACACACACATGGACACGCACATGATTTGAACTCCCTCTCTGTTTCTACATTTCTACTGTTTGCTTGAATGTCTTCCCCCAAGCCCAACTCTCTGATTACACAAGCAGACTAATTTTTATCAGCTAGCCTTGACATTTTTCCTGAGCTATTTTTTGTTACTAAGGGGTGTGTAAATGATATTCACAGCTATCTATACAACACATAACCATAGGGCTTAGATAACATCATATGAGCATGTTTTAATGTAAAGTAGCCCATAATAGTATAACGTGCAGCATTTGCATTTCTTGTTTGTGCACAGACAAATTGTTGAGTTGTGTCTTGCATGAATTATAGATGTATAGAAAAATAAAATGTTTTTTCAAAGAAAAGTTGAATTGCTTTAGAGATGTTGATTATTTTCCCATTTATAGTATCATGTATTTCATGTCCCAATGACTTTTGAAGTTTTAGATATGACTATAAAAATATTTAAATTTGGTATGTAGTGGATTCCATGAGTTTACATTCCAGTACATTTTACCATAATATTATACAATAGCATGCAATACTGAAAAAAAACAACAACAAAATACTTTGAAATTAACTTTTGTAGTAAATCAGAATACTTCATTCCAACCAGTCATAAAATGCAACGTTTCCCATCCCCTTATGTCTTCTTTTATCATTAAGTAACATAGATTAGGCTACAGTTGCTCATTTTATTGTCATCATCATCTGAGGTTATGTTCTGTTATGTTCCTATTTCCAGGGCTCAAGTGTCCAATTTGTTCCAAGCTGGTATTGCCTGATGATATAGAGTGTCATCTAGTCATGTGTTTAACACGACCAAGAATTAGTTATAATGGTAAGTAGTTGTTTGAACAAAATAAAAAAAAAAAAAAAAATTAAAAAGAAAAGACATGGTTTCACCTGTTTCTGGAAATTGAGAAATTATAAAGGTTAGTGAATCTGTTTCTAAAAGGTTTGAGATCAGCCATCACACTGATACTTTTACGTCTGTTTTTTTACTTCAGGAAAAAGATAGGTGCCAGAACCCCCTCTTCCGCCTCCTGCCCCCCCCACCCCCCCCAAAAAAAAACATGAGCTTTTTTCACAGAACCAATGAATTTCAAAATTTTTTTAAATTCCCAGGGGCCTCAGTATTTGATCTCCTGTAAAATGTTTAAAGATTGTATTGCCAAACCCAAGCTCCTGTCTGATCCTCCCCTCCCCCCCCCTCTCTCCTGCCATTGTTCATAATGATATTGAAGTGAGATTACTAAAATTAGAATATGCATCATAAGATTAGATAATTGATGGCAATGATTTTTGGTGCGGGTCAATTATCTTAGCTGAGGGTTAATAATTTATCAAGATGACCTAATCTAAAGTCAGTCACTATTATTATAAAATTGAATAACTAGAAGAAGAATTTGTAATGTATACTAGTATGTGACAAAAGATATATTGCAGCTGTTGGCAGGGAGTCAGGTTGTGCGGTTAGACACATTGATTTTAACTCCATCATGAAGATTACTTCTGTCATTGAGACAATCATTAGTATCATGTTCAAAAATGATGTACAGAAAATTACAGTGAATTACATTTATTGCTGCTCTTTTGTGTAATCATCTAGAGAAAGATGAGTCAAAATATTTCTTTGACAGGCTGAAAAAATCATGTTTGACTTGTAGTAATGGATGTGGGAAATTCCTTCAGAGACCTTGGCTTCACATATGCCATATTTCTGTCTTTTTCCATCTCTAGGCTCTCTTGGTTCAGAGAATAGATTTTTATTCACTTTGTCTCATTCAAATCATCAGTTATCAGATTAAAATTTTGAAGACAAATTATATGATTGGTTGTAAAATTGTTGAATTAGAAATCTAATTTTAAGACACTGGAAAACATAATCTAATTCAGCGATCATGGAAAACATATTGAGGTCTTCAGCAAAGCCACTTTACAGTAGCCAAATCAGTCTAAGAAGACCATTCCAAGACCCTATCATGCTAACTTTGGATCGAACTATCTCCAGGGGGATTCTCACTTAATTGCAATTAACTTTGGCGGCTAAGATGTCTGTCACGCCTACTGAAGCTGATAGGGGTAATTAACTATCGTTTAGCAGCTTTAGAGGGCGTGCCAGACATCTAAGCCACTTAAGCTGAAAGCAATTTAGTGAGAAACCCGTGGAGATGGATCGATCCTGTTAGATTGTTCTAGGAATGAGAACCCAGTCCATATGTTGTCTGCTCTAGGGAATTTCCAGGAAAGATGGCTAACTATGTGCAGATTGGTCGCTCCGGGAGGTGATGTGTTTCCTTGCTGTCAAAATTGAGTTGTGATGAACTTATTTGTTGAGAGTGACAGCAGCATTATGGAAAGGAAAATTGTTTTGTAATGGCTGATGCTTGTAAAAATGTTCTATTTTCTTGAGGGAGAGGGACTGTGGAGACTGGAAAAATGTATCTATCTTTGTCTGCTTGCAGAAAATTTTGTCAGCATTCTGATAGAATGACTTCCTGCCTAATAAAGAAAAAGAAAATTGAGTAGAAAGATAATTAATGATAATTATGAACTACTAGTACATAAAAAGTCATATCTTGTTTGGTTTTATCTGGGTATAGTGTGTCTGTGTCTAGTGTGCCTGGTGTAATTCTCAGCTCAGTGAAGATTTCACTCAATAAATATAACGTGATACCAAGTCAATGAAGATATTGGCTGGCAGACTCAGACCAAAAAAATCTGTTTTGTTTGATTGATTTCACTCAGAGAGCACCCTGAGTTTCAGGGTTTATTGAAACAGATCTCAGGGTGTTACTGGACATCACAGAGACATGCTGATGATAGAGTTAAATTTCTGGAAACTCTGTCTGAAATTCAGGGTGTTAGTGGAAATAGCAAAGGTTTACTGTTGATAAAAGTTTTTAGTAACTCTATATAACTCAGGGTACTCAGTTTTATTGAGAGCGCCTTGTCAGTGTCAGATTGATTAATTCTCCAAGTTTCCATGGTTTCCAAGGTTGCCTAAAATCCGCAACAATTCTCTCTTTCTCTCTCTCCCCATTACCCTTCACCCCCTCCTCAGATATATACCGTAGTAGTTGACTTTTTAACTGAAATGTGATTAAAAACTGGCCTTTTTTATTTGGACCTGCAATCAAGGTAACAAACATTCCTTAGAGCTTTTTTCTATGGAACAAGGTCGTGTTAGCAGATACCAAACATTGTATACAGCTCGTAGCATTTTGTATTTGGCATTTATGTACATCATGTTACTCTATCATTACAACTGATTTTGTACAAGTTACTGAATACAGGCAGAACCAGAGGTATTTACATTAAAAAGACTGATCAAGTAATTTTAGCCACATAATAGACATTTCTGGGATGTGCTGTTGTCAGCTGAATTTATAATATGTGAACCTGAAAGATTGATTGATTGGTTGAATGTCTGACTGATCAACCTACTGATTCATTGATTGATCAGTTGAAAGGAAATTAACAGGAAGAGATAACTGAAGTAATATTGGATGTTTTAAAATACACTACATGTTGAAGTAATAATGCAGTGTTATTATAATAGGTATATATACTTGGTCAGTATGCATTTGCTTGATTGAAGGGTAATATCAATGAAATGGATGTTGGAGAGATTTGATGACTGATTTGATGACTGAGATGGTAGTGGATGTTATTGCAATGGCCATACTTTGATTTGGTTTTGGAAGAATAATAGAATACATAGCAGTGGCAGGGATGGGTTGCATATTTAGATCAAATTGGGCAGTGAACAATTCCTGTTCAAACCTCAGCAATAATTACAGTTTGATATGACAAGTTGCCTACTTTGATAGTATGGTCCAAAGTGTGTGCGTCTGTATGTTCTAATTGTTTACGCAAGAGCCACTTGTGAAGTAATTTCCTGTTTGTTTTGAGAGGCCAATGAGAAAATGTATCTATAGTCTGTCTGATCGTGGGGTGCGTGCCTGCTCAGGCGATGGATTGGTCCTACATAGGCTCTGAACAGTCGTCATTTAGAACTGGGCTGATTCTAGACTGGCTGGAAACACGTCTAAATTTAGACTTTAACAGTTATCATAATGGAGTTTTGTAGGAAATGTTTTCAAGTTCTCATACTTTTGTGTTAAATGATCGATTGGGGACAATAAAGTCTGGATTTTTATGTGAATTTGCATGATATGGTGGTCTTATTGTTGAAATGATGTATCGTTTGGAAGTTTTTAAATGACAAGGTGTATGTAGATTGTGGTCTTGAATTGCTTAAGATTGTTCTTAACATCTCTTTTTTTTATCACCGACTGTTAAATATATCACCCCCATCCAAGTAATTGGTCACTCCTGTTAGACAATTTGTTTTTGCTTTATATTATATATATTTATTTATTTATTTAAAAGGATCATATGTTAGGTTTAGGACATTGTACAGTAATTAAATAATGTTATAGTATATTATTCCCCATTAATTTGAAATTGATCATAGTATATATAGAATTTAGAATTTGAGGTAAAGTAGCTAAAAAAACATTTTCCTGGAAATTCCAATACATGTCACCAATCTTGCTCATATCAGTGTTATGATCCCTTCTTAATTAGGATGAGGTCTGGTGAGTTTAAGGGCGTATTCCCAGACATTTAGATCGATCTATCTCCGTGGGGAGTCTCACTAGATTACTGTCAGATAATCCGGCTTAAATGTCCGTCCCGCCTACTAGAAGCTGTAAGGGGGTAATTAACTTTTGTGCCCGCTCGGCTGACAGCTATTTAGCGTGAACCCCCAGGGAGTTAGGTCGATCTAGTTTGGATCGATCTAATCTCTGGGAATGGGGTCTTACTCATGACAGTGAAAATTAAGAGATTAAGAGTTCAAAAACCATATTTTGATTAAGTAAAACCTCCTTGGTGATTAGAAGATAATTGCTGAAAATTTCATGTTTTATTTTATTAATTTGTTTATTTAATTTTGCAAGGCATGCGTTTCATTTTTATCAGATATTCATCAATTATAAAGTCACTGGCAACACATCAAAGGTTTTTTATTTGCTTCACAAATTGAGTCTGGGAAGGATCTCTTGGTGGTTTATGGCCTTTCCATCGACAATGTGTTCATCAAGCCTTGCTGGCTGGATGTGGTTTTCCAAGAATTCCTGCAGAAGCGTTTTGCCGTCAACATAAAAGTTCTGATTGTGTGTGTCTTGGTTTTTATTCCTTCCGACAGCATGAATCTGAGAGGGACTAATGAAGCTTAAGGCTTGCAAATTGTTCACAGAAATATGGCAGGAAGAAGGCATTTGGACTTTTCTCAAAATAAAGGGCATTTGTAATTGTGTTGCTCTCTTCTGTTGACTTTGATTGAAACATATTCACTTATAGTTCCTATGGTATTGCATCTGACTTTCAGTTAAGTTGCTACAAATTCTTGGAAGTTTGATTTTTTTAAAGCTTTTAAGATAAGATTATTTAAGTGGATTGTTACAAATGATAATAAAATGTTGTAATTTACAAACTTATGAGAAGTGGCCTTGGATCTTACCTTTATTTATTTTGACTTGAATCATTTTGTGACGCAGCTAGCAGGCTCCAGACATCATTTAGTTTGGAAGGAGCATACACTATACTAATGGATAATAAGCTGATGCCAGTAGAACAGTGGATGACATTTTAAATTAAAAAAAAAATGAAATTAAGAGGAGTACATGTTTAGATTTCATAAGCATTTTAGCAAAAATGATGGAGAAAACAAAAGTGCTGACCAACAACAAGTAATGAGTCATATGACAGTCTGGCCAGGGACATTTGTCCCATCTTTTTCATTCAGGATATAAAGGACAGAATCTATTAGTAGACATTTGATCACACTTCCAGTGCTTTTTCAGTATGTCATCACTAGTATCAGTGTATATCATAAGTGATATTCCTGGGAGTGCTTTTCAGGCAATGAAGAAACCCTGAGAAGAAGTAGAGGTTAACAATGAAATGTACGCATTTATATATATATATTCATACTACTAAGTGAATGAACAGAAGAAGAAAATGAAAATAAAAAATGTCCCCTTTAAGGGCCCCATAGATTGAATCTCAGCCAAAGCTTAATAGAAGCATGTTGCCTATAAATAGCCATAGACCGAGATCAGAGAGGGGAATGGCGCTATATTGATTGAACAAGAGGCACTCTAAGGGGTGCTTGTGTTCTAGAGTAGGTTATGTCTGAGGCTCCTTAAGGGTCTGTAGTTATACTGGGCTTGGTGTGGATAATAATGAGGTTCTGAAAGGAGGGTCCAGGTGTGGGACTTGAACTGACTCTGAAGAGATTTGGAGAAGCGTTTCTTGAAAATTCTCAAGTTTTTATATGAAACTTAGACTGCTTAGTCCTGTTGTTTAAATAAAGTATGTAGATGTCTAAAACTAGAAGCAATATTTTTTTTGTGATTTTTTAATGAAATAAGCATCAGGAAAGAGTTGTTACTGTATTTTGTTTTTTACTTTAAGGGATTTTCTGTTATGCTGTTCACAATAACCGCATCATGATATTGTGTAGTACCTTCTTAATTCATTAAAATTTTTAATAAAGTATCAGATATCACATTTATCATATTTAAATTGTCATAATTATCATGTTTATTGTTATATTTTCAGAGGATGTGCTTACAGAGGATAAGGGGGAATGTGTAATATGTTTTGAGGACCTCCAGCAGGGTGACACCATTGCCCGCCTTCCTTGTCTTTGTGTATATCATAAACCGTGAGTATTTCATGAAGTCACTTATATACATATATATATATATATATATATAATATTTGAGTTTTCATTACAGAAATAAGAATGGAAAAATTTTTTGAAACTTCTGCTAAAATTTACAGTATTTTTGGACTGATAAATATAACATTGGGAATGGGCTTTAACACCAAATTCTGTTTGTCCTTTGCACCAGGTCAGTGACATGATAGAAATAATAGACTGATCTCATTAAAAAAATTAACAAATTATATCAAAATTTTAACATTCTGTACATAAGTGTGAGCAAAGAAAAGTGTTGGTTATTGTTGTACTGGTAAAATCTGGACCAAAACAGGTTTAAGACCGACTTTGTCTTAACACGGCTTTTGTTCATTGATTCGATCTCATCAGAATGTCCCAGTTGGGAAAATCTTTGTTGGTAAACTCTAAAAATGACCACAAAATATTTTGTGTAAACTTAAGTTTTCTAAAAGTTCTTAAACAGTGTTATTCAGTCTATACAATCAGAAGTGGAAAGAGATTGTATCAATAAAATTGCCAAACACTATTTGTTGTTCATCTTTGGGGAAAGAATTAAGACTCTAACTTGGGTTGACTGTAGCTTGTACAGTGCCCCAGGCCAGTAGACTGATTGATAAATTCTGTTGTGTCTGTCTTCTGGTAATAAATAGATATTACTCCCCACGGAATTCAACTGAAGTTACAATGACCTGTGTGAATGGAAGCCCAGTATAATTCAATATCATCCACTTATTTTAGACAAAAGATTTTTAAGTGCAGTTGTCCTGTTTCGGGCACTTTCTTGATTGTGTATCAATGAGAGTTTGCTTTAAATATAAATATTTTATCAATACAATGTGTCTGAAAAAATATTGTGCATCTGTATCTCTTGCTGCAGTCCACATATTTTATGATTTCCCTGGTGACCCACCTTCTCAGGACATCATTTTAAAAACTTCTATCTGATAGTCCCAAACTGGCAGTTTTAGCAGGTTATTGGCATCCTACTTCGATATGGGTCACTTCTGTCTCATCATCGGGAGACTGCAAACTGAATTTGTATTGGAACCAACAGGTTTCTCAGTAGTGGGCTCATTTTGATAAGAAATATTTATATTAAGTTTGGAAAGAAGTGTAGTTACAACCAGCCTATGTGATAAAGGTATCATGGCACATACAACCAGTCCAACTGCCTCCTCTCCCCACCCTCCCCCAGTCTTCAAATTGTACATAAAGCTCTGTTAACACTCCTCCTCCATACCAGTGTGACCAATGTTTTTATGTGATGATGTTTGATCACACATAATCTCTTTCTGAACCTAACAGGTATTGGAGGCTGTGAGNCAGCCTATGTGATAAAGGTATCATGGCACATACAACCAGTCCAACTGCCTCCTCTCCCCACCCTCCCCCAGTCTTCAAATTGTACATAAAGCTCTGTTAACACTCCTCCTCCATACCAGTGTGACCAATGTTTTTATGTGATGATGTTTGATCACACATAATCTCTTTCTGAACCTAACAGATATTGGAGGCTGTGAGTGAATAATTTCTATTTGTATTTACCAGTTTTTGCAGTCAGTTGGTTAATTTTCAAAGGTGCAGTGTTTATGAAAAGGCATCATAGTCTCAACAGTGATACTTAAATGTTCTTGATATAAATTATTCTTTCCGAATACATTAACAATGTTTTTTACCTTTAAGGCTTTAAATATCAACCCTTCATCTAAGGGCCTTGTTTACACGACTCTTTAGAAACCATCTACTTTTTAACCATCATCACACAGAGGACAATGAAAAACCTTTTTTACCTAAAAGTTTATTTTTCTTTCTTTCAGGTGCATTGATCAGTGGTTTGATGTAAATAGGTCCTGCCCTGAGCACCCCATTGATTAGGACACATTGTCACAACCGACTGTTTGTCACACCTGACACATTTGCCATAGTCATGTGACAGTGGACACAATATATATCACAACCAGGTGTCTGTCACACCTAACACAATGACCACAGTCAGGTGACAGTGGACACAATGTCACAACTAACACAATTATAATGATGTGCCAGAGGATACCAGTCAGCTCATCATTATAGTGATAAGAGAATACAGGATTTTCCTACATGGAAGAAAATTTTGCCACAATTTAACAAGTGGATGTAGATAGTAATAAAAGAACTCATTTTCATGATAATAATGTTCATAAGCATATTTTATTTATAAACTGACACTGTTGTTGTACAGAAGAGCTAAGTCATCATGTTAATCATAAAATGATGTAAGGTTATGTATTTTTACTAAATAAGCATTAATTGCCACTCCATGCTCTAAGAGCAGCAGTCCTGTCAAGCCTCAGCTCTCACACTTCCTGAACATAGAAACTCCTGGTTATTTTTGCAGCATGAATAAGCTTAGAATTGATTTACAACAAAGCATTGAAATGCCAAGGGTACCCTGGAAATCTCAGTTGGGGAAAAAGCTGGGAATGTTAAATGTATAGTGAATTCCTTGTCTTATGAAGGTGCCATTTGTCAGTGAGATATGTTGTTTTCAGAGAGAAAGTTGCCAGACCACTAATGTTTTCTAACATGATGATGATGATATGCTGTGTTGCATACACAGGTTTGACTTTGGAAGACTTGTATGAAATCCACCTGAAGAGCTCACTTCAATATCCACCTGAGTTTCAACCATAATAATGGAAATATAAAATGTGGCCTAATTTCAAGGGAATCCATATTAAATAATCTAAAATTATATTCCAGATCACTAAAAAAAGGAGACATGCTTTGGTATGTTTCTGTGTGGAGCACTTTGTATTTTAAAAAATATTTAAAGGCAATTTCATGTTGAAGGGTTGCCAAGAACTGAATAATTCCAAGGAATATTGCAGTTGGAGTCTGGACGAGTTTCTTGAAGAATATTTGGAGGTATGACATAAGACAAATAGAATTCTTGTGGATTTTCCATGCACAGAAATCTTTGGGTGAAAAAAGGGAACATTTTCAGACTGGCTTGGGAGTTGCACAGAACGTCTTCATTCCTTGGAGACATTTACTTAGGATGTTACACAATAAAGACTGATCATCAAAATAGCAAAGAAACCTTGGAATTTTCTCAGGAATTAACAGCGTGGATGCTGAATCAGTCTTCACAGGAAAGGAAGAGAATTTTGATGAATGGAGTTGTTGATCTAAGCTAGTATTGCACTGACATGACTGCAATTTCTGAGATAAATGGACTTAGACCAAAATGATGAGCATGAAAGGGTTCTTTTGTGAAAAGGAAGGGGTAAAATTGCCAATCATTTTTTAAATGTTTTTTTTTTAATTCCATACTGCTCAAGATGACATGCTGTTTCATTTGAGATACGGTGATTGCAAGCTACAGAGTACTGAAAAATTAATCTTAATTCGTAACAAAATAGGAAAGCATGTGTTTCAGGGTTTACAGTAAACACTTGCATGTCATTTTTGCCAGGTGGGAATAATTTACTAGCTTTATATATTGAAAGCATATATCAGAGTAGCAGGTAAAACTTTGAAATTTAGGGTGAAAAGTAAGATAAACATGAGTGAAAAAATAATATTGCTTCAGTAAATTAGTTGATTTGAAAATCCATATTGCCTTAATTACTGCCACAGTTAAAGTTGGGTGTACGAAATTGACGTGCTCTCAGGTGCACATCATTACGTCAAAGCAGAGTGGGTGCCATTGCCATGGAAACAAACCTGTTTGACGTTAACCTTAAACCGGCACATCTGTCAATAGAGCTAGTATTTACAGAGGATCTCGAGCCATTTTTTTAAATTCTGACACGGTTTCTGTACGATAGTGATGTGGTTTTAGGAAATTGGTATTGGGGTGCAAAAAGTGGAGGGCCAAGTCTCTTACGGGAGATGTTTTTTGTAACGCCTTTTTGATACGTTAGCGTGATCTGGTTCTAAATCTCCAGATATTGATAAATACATTAACGTATAGCGTGGTAAGTCATTGGCGGCAAATGTTACATTTTGATAGGACTTGAGACCATTTTTATTTGGTTAAAAAACTTTGACCCTACGGTTGTGGAATAGTTGAAACTAGACCCGGTTAGTTGAAAGAGGTCAGCATTATTAGCACTTTCAGATCAACTTTGCTTTGCCATATTTAACTTATATGCCAATTTCTTTCTTTATTCCGAAGTTGATGCCAAATTGATGCGGTTCATAACTGCAGCCCAAACCATATTACTGTGAAATTTGACCAGGTTGGCGAAACCTTGGTGACATTAAGGTGAATACTAGTTATTAATATTTAGCAGAGTCCATCACAATAACATGATTGAAAACATTTAGTTATGCATTTAAATTTATATTTGAGTTATATTTATGCTATGAAAAATTACCTTATTTTAGTAATTGGTGCTTGAGTTGGTTATGGGAGTCTGGCGTTCATAAATTTAACTTCATGGCGTCCGTAAATTTGGCGCATGTTGTAAAATTTTATCTGAAAGACATTAACACCAACAGGGATATGGCACAGCAACAAAACACCAATTTATAGAAGATGAAGTAACTAACTTTGGAAGTCCTGGGCGAAGGTGATTGAATTTGATAGGCGGCCATTGTACATTTGGGACATATCGGCGTTTCCGTAATTACACTTTTAACAGATAGATACGGCATCGGCCAAAGGTCGCAATTGTGTTTTGGCCGCCATGTCACCGCTACCACAATTGGTAATGTCTTGTAGTCTGTTGTTCATGCTGACATATTCAACATATTGCGTCGAGGAACAGTTTTAAGTTTGACTGGTTTACAATATAATCGCATCTCTGGTCGATCAAATTGATTAACCAAGAGCTTAAACGTCTGTGAGGAGAGAGTGTACACCAAGATGTCCCAGTAGTGTTCTGGGTTCAACAGAAAGCAAAAAGCACATTTTAAACCTTTTCTCTGACGCGGCTGAATGTAAGAAATTAGGCAGGTGACAAATTTGTGATAAGTTTGTGAAAAGTTTGTCAAAGCTCATGCTCAATCTTGGGTCAAAAATAAATCCAGCTTACATTATGTTGTAAAGGTATCTCGTTAATCCCGTCTGGTTCACAAGGAGATGGATATACTTAGACTGGGTTGCCATACCTAGATTAATCTAACGGGATCGGTCCATCTCGAAGGGTTTTCTCTCTAAATTGCTTTTGGCTTAAGCGGCTTAGATGTCTGCTAAACGATAGTAAATATCCCCATATCAGCTTCAGTAGGCGTGTCAGACATCTAAGTCACTTAAGTTGATTGCAATTTGGCGAGAATCCCCTTGGAGACAGATCGCTCCAAAGTTAGTACAAAAGGGTCTGGGAACGGTCCTTTAGGTAACTTAGTTTGCACTTGTTTTCCCCTCTAGGACCACAGATAGTTTGTCCACTGGATATTGTCAGACGTCGCTCTGGATAATTCTGTGCACCTTTAAGTTAATTTTTGCACATGGATTTTGCTCAGAACGGCCCATCTCGCTAGATTTTGTGGTGCCAACAGTGTAGAAAAGGCTGATATAATGTATTATGTAAGGGTAATGAAACAGCGATGAAATGAATCCATTAAAAGTTGTATTTTGTATTTTCACTTTGTAAACTTTGCACACATGACTTCGCATGGTTTGAATCGCATATGAAATCTGAATATAATGGTAATATCTAAATATCGATGTTTGGCAAAAGGCAATGCTATAATTTATATGGAAATAATACTGTGATGAAATGATATTGTTTTATATTGTTCTCTCTCTTTCCATTGCTTTCCCCTATTGCCAGTACTTTGTGTGGAAATCGTGAGGTCGCCGCACCTTTTTTTTGATCATTGAAATTTTGACCAGCCTCTGGGCCACCGGTAATAGTGGTTACCTTTCTTTGCAACTGAATTATTGGATAAAAATTAAAGTAAGCTCCTTTATTAAAGATTACCATATGTTATTGCTTATANCAGGGCATAGGTAGTAGGCAAGCAAGTTCGAAAATCAGCATGATCGGGCCATTTTTATGGAAGTTATGATGTTTTTTCACTTTTTTCAGCATATATGCAACACCTATAACACATTTGAAGGAAAATTGATGGGCCAATTGTTTTGAAATTCACAGGAGTGATCAATGTTACTAAATACAGATGAAGTTTTGAAAATAAGCTTGAAAATAAGTTTTGAAAATAAGTTGTAAGTTGTATTTGTATATAAGTGTTTTTTCCTCAAATTTAATTCACAGGTATGTTAACAGTCGTAGGTAAATATTGTTTAATACTGCAAATTAGTCTTCAAAAAGTATTTTGTGTAATGCCAACGTTAATGCTATAGATGAATAACAGTGTCTTATTATCCTCAAACTCAATGGGGTTATTAATATCATGTTAATACAGCAAGATTGAAAGTTTGAAGAGCAGCTTTATTGGAATACTTTTCTTATGTTTTTTAAAAATTTTTTTCAGACACTGGCATTTTCAAGATGTGACTTTTAACTCCCATCCACCTGAACCTCTGCAAATTTTCTGTATTTCCACATAGGCAGTTGTATTGGAATTTATGTCTTTAAACATAATGTAATATTATTTTATGCACTGTCTTCATTTTTCAAATATTGTGATTTTCATTATGTGAATTTGAACTCTCGTAGTCCTGCAACTGTAATCTTATTGCCCGTCTTCTGGGCCTTCTGGAAGACGGTCAGATTTTAATGTTTACATTGACGAGTATCTAATTTTTCTGTTGGAAGAGCATCATAAATGGAGGATGGATCAACAAAGATAATTTGGAATACTGTCAGAAAATATATCTCCTGTTCGCTCCTGTTATAGACCATGTTATATGTTTTTCATGATTAAAATTCAGTGTTGATTGACAACATTATTTATTATTGCATCAAAAGTGACAAAATGACCTATCTTATGCATCTTTATTTGCTGTTGTTTTTTTGTTTGGCTGCTACACCAGTTTGCATTTTTACATCTTCCAACTCAGCCATTAGACTGGGCTCAGATCCATAGTATTTAAGTTTATCCCTAAATTGCACAAATCTGCATGTCATGTCCAGCTTTCTCAAGTGATTTACATACTTGTTCCGTTTGCTTTTCTCTTGATTGTTTGAATTGAATGAGTATAGTTCAAAAATACTTTTTCTGTGCCTGCAAATGTGCTGTCGGCGCGATAAGATGCAAATATCCTATGTATGCTTGCCCACAACTGACTAAAAAGAAGCCAGTTTTACATTGGCCGTTTTTGCTATCTTATGCACAGTGAACATGACCTGTACTCTACAACACATGCAAATTAATGAAATACCTCTTAGAACTGCAGATGCTTACGGAGATAAAAAACATAGCATGAAAAATGATTTGACCTCCTGCCATTGTAGTGTATACAGACATGGCCATGCTGAAAGAGCTGTCCTTTATGTGAGAAGCCAAATAAGATATAGTGGAGATGCGTGTTGGAAAGTTATTAAGTTATCTGATGATGTTTTATGTTGTATTATAATTCATAATACACAGATTATAAACCTATAAAAGCAAACTAATGGAAGTATTCTACCGATATATGCTAGGTATAATGAAACACAATGTCTACACTTTCTTACATGGGTTTCTTTATTTCACCCTCAAACACTGGTGCCCACGTTTGGCTAAACAGCTGTATTGTGAAAATAAGGCAGACATGTTGTAAGCTCTAGTCTCTCTAATATACGAGCAGTTTATGCAAAACAATATTTGGCCTGCTCTCTGTAAGAATAAAATATACTGGTACGTAGTTAATAAGCTCGACATGAAAGGAAGTTTTTATCTTGAAAATGATGCAGAAAATACTGGTAGTTAAAAAGCAGTAAGAATTAACAGACATCCAAATTTTTTTTCTTTTGAATTTTTATTTGATGATGCAAACTTTGTGAAAGTAATCAATTGATAGCGCCATACTCCTAACGACAGAGGAGGCAAATTAAATAGAACGTTGAGAACTCACAACATGATTTAATTTATTACACCCTTAACCATTCATTCGATTTCTGGTCCCCTCTTGAAATTAAAATTTTGACTAGCATAATCATAGTTCTAAACCGTACCAAATTGCACCGTTTGCCCTCAAGAATAACCAAAATTTTGGGGGCCCACGTCAAGTTTCGCAGCCGCATACCCTCCCCCCTTCAAATAATCTTGGGTCCAAAATAAAACACTCGTTGAGATTTCCCTGTAAAGACCCATAGGTTAAGCTCTTTTAACTGTGTCACATAATTAGGAACCGGTGATAATTATGCAGGTAAATGTTGTTTAATATTGCAAATAAATTTACAACGGAAAAAAATTGTGTAATTCCAACATTTATACTATAGATGAATAACAGTGCCTATTCTCAAAGTCAGTGGGGTTATTTGGCCTGCTCTCTGTAAGAATAAAATAAACTGGTGCGTAGTTAATAAGCTCGACGTAAAAGGAAGTTTTTCTCTTGAAAATGATGCAGAAAATACTGGTAGTTAAAAAGCAGTATGAATTCACAGACATCAAAGAATTTTTTCTTTTGAATTTTTTTTTTTTTTTTTTTTTTTTTTTTTTTTAAATTAAAATTTTGTGAAAATAATAAATGGGAGGGCCCCATCCCCCAACCAAAGGGGGGGAAAAAAAAANCTCAGGGCATAGGTAGTAGGCAAGCAAGTTCGAAAATCAGCATGATCGGGCCATTTTTATGGAAGTTATGATGTTTTTTCACTTTTTTCAGCATATATGCAACACCTATAACACATTTGAAGGAAAATTGATGGGCCAATTGTTTTGAAATTCACAGGAGTGATCAATGTTTCTAAATGCAGATGAAGTTTTGAAAATAAGCTTGAAAATAAATTTTGAAAATAAGTTGTAAGTTGTATTTGTATATAAGTGTTTTTTCCTCAAATTTAATTCACAGGTATGTTAACTGTCGTAGGTAAATATTGTTTAATATTGCAAATTAGTCTTCAAAAAGTATTTTGTGTAATGCCAACGTTAATGCTATAGATGAATAACAGTGTCTTATTATCCTCAAACTCAATGGGGTTATTAATATCATGTTAATACAGCAAGATTGAAAGTTTGAAGAGCAGCTTTATTGGAATACTTTTCTTATGTTTTTTAAAAATTTTTTTCAAACACTGGCATTTTCAAGATGTGACTTTTAACTCCCATCCACCTGAACCTCTGCAAATTTTCTGTATTTCCACATAGGCAGTTGTATTGGAATTTATGTCTTTAAACATAATGTAATATTATTTTATGCACTGTCTTCATTTTTCAAATATTATGATTTTCATTATGTGAATTTGAACTCTCGTAGTCCTGCAACTGTAATCTTATTGCCCGTCTTCTGGGCCTTCTGGAAGACGGTCAGATTTTAATGTTTACATTGACGAGTATCTAATTTTTCTGTTGGAAGAGCATCATAAATGGAGGATGGATCAACAAAGATAATTTGGAATACTGTCAGAAAATATATCTCCTGTTCGCTCCTGTTATTGACCATGTTATATGTTTTTCATGATTAAAATTCAGTGTTGATTGACAACATTATTTATTATTGCATCAAAATTGACAAAATGACCTATCTTCTGCATCTTTATTTTCTGTTGTTTTTTTGTTTGGCTGCTACACCAGTTTGCATTTTTACATCTTCCAACTCAGCCATTAGACTGGGCTCAGATCCACAGTATTTAAGTTTATCCCTAAATTGTACAAATCTGCATGTCATGTCCAGCTTTCTCAAGTGATTTACATACTTGTTCCGTTTGCTTTTCTCTTGATTGTTTGAATTGAATGAGTATAGTTCAAAAATACTTTTTCTGTGCCTGCAAATGTGCTGTCGGCGCGATAAGATGCAAATATCCTATGTTTGCTTGCCCACAACTGACTAAAAAGAAGCCAGTTTTACATTGGCCGTTTTTGCTATCTTATGCACAGTGAACATGACCTGTACTCTACAACACATGCAAATTAATGAAATACCTCTTAGAACTGCAGATGCTTACGGAGATAAAAAACACATAGCATGAAAAATGATTTGACCTCCTGCCATTGTAGTGTATACAGACATGGCCATGCTGAAAGAGCTGTCCTTTATGTGAGAAGCCAAATAAGATATGGTGGAGATGCGTGATGGAAAGTTATTAAGTTATCTGATGATGTTTTATGTTGTATTATAATTCATAATACACAGATTATAAACCTATAAAAGCAAACTAATGGAAGTATTCTACCGATATATATGCTGGGTATAATGAAACACAATGTCTACACTTTCTTACATGGGTTTCTTTATTTCACCCTCAAACACTGGTGCCCATGTTTGGCAAAACAGCTGTATTGTGAAAATAAGGCAGACATGTTGTAAGCTCTAGTCTCTCTAATATACGAGCAGTTTATGCAAAACAATATTTGGCCTGCTCTCTGTAAGAATAAAATATACTGGTACGTAGTAAATAAGCTCGACATGAAAGGAAGTTTTTCTCTTGGAAATGATGCAGAAAATACTGGTAGTTAAAAAGCAGTAAGAATTAACAGACATCCAAAAATTTTTTTCTTTTGAATTTTGATTTGATGATGCAAACTTTGTGAAAGTAATCAATTGATAGCGCCATACTCCTAACGACAGAGGAGGCAAATTAAATAGAACGTTGAGAACTCACAACATGATTTAATTTATTACACCCTTAACCATTCATTCGATTTCTAGTCCCCTCTTGAAATTAAAATTTTGACTAGCATAATCATAGTTCTAAACCGTACCAAATGGCACCGTTTGCCCTCAAGAATAACCAAAATTTTGGGGGCCCACGTCAAGTTTCGCAGCCGCATACCCTCCCCCCTTCAAATAATCTTGGATCCAAAATAAAACACTCGTTGAGATTTCCCTGTAAAGACCCATAGGTTAAGCTCTCTTAACTGTGTCACATAATTAGGAACCGGTGATAATTATGCAGGTAAATGTTGTTTAATATTGCAAATAAATTTACAACGGAAAAAATTGTGTAATTCCAACATTTATACTATATATGAATAACAGTGCCTATTCCCAAAGTCAGTGGGGTTATTTGGCCTGCTCTCTGTAAGAATAAAATAAACTGGTGCGTAGTTAATAAGCTCGACATAAAAGGAAGTTTTTCTCTTGAAAATGATGCAGAAAATACTGGTAGTTAAAAAGCAGTATGAATTCACAGACATCAAAGAATTTTTTCTTTTGAATTTTTTTTTGATGATGCAAACTTTGTGAAAGTAATCAATGGAGAGCGCCATACTCCTAACGACAGAGGAGGTAAATTAAATAGAACGTCGAGAACTCCCCACATGATTTTCTTTTTTACACCCTTAACCATTCATATCTTTGTTTAGCGAAACGGGATAACTGCGGACATATATTATCTTTGAAATACCCTTCGATGATATCTCATTTAAAAAATGCCATCGTGAATGTGTGTTAACCATCACCCCGTCCTACCAGCTTTAACCATGAGGTGTAACAGATCTGGAGAAGTCTGTCACGACAACATGGGTCTGATCGAGGATTTTTCGTATTGGACAACTGGTGCCGCATAAATTGTACTTGAGAGATTTCAAATCATCCAGATAATCTCAAATTTTGTTGTTTGTGGTTGGGGAAACATTTACGTAGAGGTATCATTTGTGTAAAATAAGTGGGTAAAATACACTTGTCATTTTACACCATTTCATATGGCTAAACAAACCTGTTAATTTTGTTTCTACTTACATGGTAAAATAGTACATTTCAGATAGGTAATGCATAACAGCGCTTTTTATCACGTGCACGTGTACCGCTGCATGACAATGGATGACACAAAACATGGTATCAGCACCAACGTCCTGATCCCCCCCCCCTTCGATTTCTGGTCCCTTCTTGAAATTAGAATTTTGACTAGCATAATCATAGTTCTAAACCGTACCAAATTGCACCGTTTGCCCTCAAGAATAACCAAAATTTTGGGGGCCCACGTCAAGTATCGCAGCCGCATACCCTCCCCCCTTCAAATAATCTTGGATACAACATAAAACACTCATTGAGATTTCCCTGTTAAGTCCCATAGGTTAAGTTCACTTAACTGTGTCACATAAATAGGAACCGGTGATAATTATGCAGGTAAATGTTGTTTAATATTGCAAATAAATTTACAACAGAAAAAAACGTGTAATTCCAACATTTATGCTTTAGATGAAATAACAGTGCCTATTCTCAAACTCAGTGGGGTTATTTGGCCTGCTCTGTAAGAATAAAATATACTGGTACGTAGTTAATAAGCTAGACATGAAAGGAAGTTTTTCTCTTGAAAATGATGCAGAAAATACTGGTAGTTACAAAGCAGTATGAATTCACAGACATCAAATAATTTTTTCTTTTGAATTTTTTTTTGATGATGCAAACTTTGTGAAAGTAATCAACTGAGAGCTCCATACTCCTAACGACAGAGGAGGCAAATTAAATAGAACGTCGAGAACTCCCTACATGATTTTCTTTATTACACCCTTAACCATTCATATCCTTGTTAAGCGAAACGGGAGAACTGCGGACATAAATATCTTTGAAATACCCTTCGATGATATCTCATTTAAAAAAACATGCGATCGTGAATGTGTGTTAACCATCACCCCGTCCTGCCAGCTTCAACCATGAGGTGTAACAGATCTGGAGAAGTCTGTCACGACAACATGGGTCTGATCGAGATTTTTTTGTATTGGACAACTGGTGCCGGATTAATTGTACTTGAGAGATTTCAAACCATCCAGATAATCTGGAAATTCTGTTGTTTGTGCTCGGGGAAACATTTACGTAGAGGTATCATTTGTGTAAAATAAGTGGGTAAAATACACTTGTCATTTTACACCATTTCATATGGCTAAACAAACCTGTTAATTTTGTTTCTACTTACATGATAAAATAGTACATTTCAGATAGGTAATGCATAACAGCGCTTTTTATCACGTGCACGTGTACCGCTGCATGACAAGGGATGGTATCATTTATACAGAATGGAAAAATTTCCACCCAAACACCCAGACCTAGCAAATGGGACACATGGCACATTTAAGGGTTCGAAATTTACAAAATGAACTTGTGTTTTTTGATAAGGGAATCATTATGTAGACATATTTTCTTAAGTATATGCACCGTTTAAGCCATTTTGTTGGTCTTCAAGTGATAAACGACCCGTTTGTGCTAGGTGGAAATGTGTGACTGTGCTGACATACTTCTAATTTTTTTCTTTAAAAACTACCTTAAATTTTGGTGCCCTGCCAATATTTGAATAGAAAACAACAATTAAAATGCTATGCAATACTGTTGAATTATAGAACAGGCGTTTATCTTATATTATCTCAATTTTAAAATCGGAAATAAATCACTATCCAGGCCTCTTCTCTCTCAACATATTCTTCATTTCTCAATATAAATAAAGCCTGTGGTTTATTACCATATCTGAAAACAAAAAGAAAAAATGTTTGATACTGACAATTTAATTAATGCACACTCACAGCCTTAAGGATAAATCCTTTATATTTCACTACAAATGAATGGAAGGAATCAAGTTAAAAAACGAGTTTCGCAGCCGCATATCCCCCTTCCCCCTTCAAATAATCTTGGATCCAACCCTGTCTCTAGCATCTCTAGCAAACTTGATAGTCACAACAGAAAAGACGTGGAAGCCTTTTTCATTTTCATCATTCAATTTATAGCTGCATGAACACAGGCTATAAGATCATCGCACATAACTCTGGATTGATAGCTATGGTACATGCTTTTGAATGTAAAACCTTTCCTTCCTACAATTAAATTGTCGCCATAATTTAATTTGTCATAGGAAAAACAAGCCTGGTTCCTAGCTAGTGAACTGAACTGTCTGTGCATTTAACGTTGCAATATGCATATCATAGTGCATACACATAGTGATGCCATGCAGGCACACGCAATTACAGCGACGTGGTTACACTGAATATACACCTTTAAATAAATTCAAGTAAAATGCTTAGCAATGGTTATTAGCTACCTGTCTGTATCGACTTCTTAATTTTTGTGACCATCTCTCAGTGATCTTTTATTAGTGCAGTCACATGTAGAAAGCCTTGAGATATGCCCCCCAGTAATTATTTTGCTGAAATGATAAGATAAGTCGCAATTTCTTATTTAAAATTCATCAATGGGGAAAAAAAAACGTTAAAAATATGCAGTACAGGATGAGTAATGAAGAACAGAAAGAGGAACCAAGGGCCAAACAAACTATTTAATTTTTATCCTCATAAAGAGCCCATTGAACCTCGAGTCCGGTAGGATTGCATTTCAATTTAAATTCTACAACAAGATTTTCGTATTATTTTATACACATCACTTATTTTCAAAATTATCAACGAGCAACAAACATGTATGAACAGCAATGTGGTACCATTTCTACAAAAGGTATATTATTAGAATATCAGTGAAGTATACTGCTACATTTTGCCATTAATCTTACCAAAATGTTATTGAAGATTATTCACTATAGAATATTTGGGTAAAGTGTGATGGAAATACGGTAAGCTTAATAAACAAAATTTAAAACAATCGGGCAAATACCTGTAGCTACCGAGTCTATAACCACAGTCCCTTCGGCATCCACCTTGGCAAGCACAGCCGAATATATTGCATGGCCCGCTCCCACAGTAAGGTGTTTTCTAAAACGCAATGTATGTTTTCAAAATACAAAATCAAATCCCACCACCCTAAATATAGCGATCGACAAAACTGTCGTTATGCCGCATAACTATATTGACAAATATTAGTATTTGTTTTTTTAGAGTGTCAGCCAAGAGAGATTTAGTTTTCTTTCAATAAAAAGTGTGGCTTAATGTAAGAACTAATCATGGCTTTTCAATTGTGAGTTCTCTAATAAAAATCCCAAAATTACGACTATGACCAACCAACTCTCTTTTATAAGAAATTGTCATTTGTTGGGAGAGGGGGGAGGAGGGGTCTGAGAACACATTTTACCATCATTTCACAATATTTTCATTTATGATGATTTACGTGGCATTTTTGAGGAATGTGAATGCTATGTACCCTGTCACAAACCCGCTACTGAACAAAAGAAGTTGACGGGGACTCAAAGTTAGTAGAGGGGATTCAACCTTTTATTTCTTTCCTCGAAATATCAGTAAGAAATAAGTTAATTTAAAGCCATTTTTTTCTTTTGCAACTTTGACCACTTCATATTTTTCTATTTCATTAAATATAAATAATTAAATCTTACTCTTGTGCAATCCTTACAGAATCCTGAGCGCGGTATCGAATAACAGCAATCTGCTTTGGTTTCCCTCAGAACACTGCCCGTCAAAATGACTGCAATCAGTAGGACACCAAGATAACCGGCCATCTTCTGACTTCCTAAAGGCAAAGTCATTAAATATTTTAATATTTCATTATAAAAATAGTAAAAAATCAATAGTAAATAAGATATATCGTGAAACTGTGAAGAAATATCTCACAAGTTTTTCCATTTTTTTCTTTTTGCGAAATACAAATTGCAATAGAATCTGCTGTTTTACCTCGGATCAGAGGCAGACGTATTCATTGTAAACCCATGAGACTGGCTGCCAAAGTAGCTAACTATTGGAATGTCGATACGGGCTGGACAAAATTAATAATAATAAAACACCCCAGTATAACAGATTCGTAACACATTTGATTGAACGAATCAATCTTACTGTAACAATAAAATATGCTGGTCTAATACGCGACCCTACAAAAATTGCTAAAGAGTGTTTAATATTATTTCATAAGCATTAATTTTTTATTTAACGTACAATGTATTATCTTACATGAAAAAAAGAACACCGAATATCAAGGTTTAAAAAACAGCTCTACTATAAAAACAATATTGATAAACATACAACGGCTGCGTCTGATTGAATCATATGTAAAAAGCAAATAGCCTTAATTTTTTCATCAGAGAGAGGGTATTCGAAATTTTATTTGGCATTTCCCCCTACTGAATTTTTCCGCCTCAGAGCAGATTGGTTGAGCATATATCTGGCCACAGATATTTGTAAAATATTTGTAAATATGGTGTTCAGCAGTTTTTGGTAGACAATAGAGGGTGTTTTCAGAGATTCGAACAATGATATTAAGAGATAATTTTTTTTTGAAATTATATACATTTGAGGTTATGGACTGAACTGGAGTCAAATAACACATTGAAAGAGCCAAAAAAGAGCTTGAAGTAAAAATAATAACGCAATAATATCTGGCATTGTTCAATTGCAAAAATTGCATATTGCACATTGTAAATTAAAAAGAGAAGAAAAAAATACTCACCGGGTTCTCGTAAGGCACACGAGTAAAATTGAGATACTTGCTGGAAAAGCGCTTCTCTACTCGAATGATCACTGATAAAGGTTTCAACCTTATATACCGGATATGGCAAGATGAATCATCGATGTTGCTTTGTTAATTCAAAGACTGAGAAACATACTGGTAGTTGACAATCACTTTAACGCCGTAGGCCCTGGCTAGCGGTGACCTAGAAAGCAGCCTTGAGCCTGAGGGTGTTTGAGTCAGTGACTGCTGAATAGGGGGTTATCGCACAAAATCACTAATTTCAACTGATTTCGTCAATAAAACCTACTTGACATATACATTTTTAAAAAGCCAATAGTTACAGCTATATTTCTATAACCACTAACTGTATGAATATGATTGAATTAAGAAAATATAGTCTTTTAAATGTCAACTTTTTTACGGTCTCAAAATAATTTTTTTCCTATTTCACTGAAGGTATCTTTTCTTTTCATTCAAGCACATTTTGTACATCTACGTCAGTAGTGTCACATTATTTCCCTTTATCGTCCAAAATTTCAGGGGGAAATATCCTTTTTCCTTTTTGCGTTACAGCCTGTTTATAGGTCTAACTGGCCGTTGTGCTGCGAAAGGAGATAGGGTGTTCTAATTACAAGCTGACACCTAAATTACTCGAATAATCTAACTAATCTATATATTCATGGAAAGCCGGTACTTTACCAATACTGTCACAAAAAGGTTTCGTTTTCTTATGAATGATACGGGGTGTTATATATATTTTTTTTCTTTTTTTTATTTTCATTTTCTGAAAGAAAATTCTGTTGCTCATTTAATTTCATAATGACTGTTTTTATGCTGGAAATAACGCAAAATCATTTCAAATTTTTTGTTCTTATCCATTAAAAATTCCAGCAAAATATATTACATATTTTATGAGTTACAGTCTGTTTACCCTCGACAGGCTAACAGCATGGCAATTTAACTTACCTGGATGTTTCACAGGGGAGGGGGAAAGGGTGTTAAAATTGCAAAGCTGACCTCTGAATTACTTTAAAGTAATCATTAAATTCACCGAGTGGCAATACTACAAATGGCCTTTTCAATACTGCCTCATCAATGAATAATTTTTCGCCAGTATAACATATCAGATTTTATATTTCATAAAATGAAATTGAGTTTTCTTCAGTTCATAAAGCGCATTGTTACCTTCGGATGTTGGGTAAATGTAACCCAGTTTTTCTGTGTCTTCATCTTCTGCATATGTCAGTAAAATATCTATCTGAACGTATGAGTCATGTATAGTGCTGCCGGCAGGTGTAATTGGCAACTGATAATTAGTTCACCTTGAAGTAGGTCTAGGTGGTGAGATGGGCTATTCTGATAACAAACTTGACACCTTTCATTAGCTAACAGTCTTGTTCAATCACCTTTTATCGCGTCATCTAGCCAGGAAAGGCATGCTCTGAACTAGGACAAAGTACACAAATAGACCCCAAATGCTTATTTATTCACACATCCAAGTCTTGTACAGAAAAGTAAAGAAAATAAACTAGTACTACAAAGACAATAATAAATGAGATCAAAAACAGGTTTTCATGACAAGTCCCATTGCAAAAATCATGCCAAGCCAAGCTTTTAGTTCTGTCCATGCACACTTGTGTTGAGTAGTGTTTTTAGTAGACAATAGAGGGTGTTTTCGGATATTCGACCAATGATTCTAATAGATAATTATTTTTGAAATTATATACATTTTAGTTTATGGGCTGAACTGAGTTTTGTTTTTGGAGTCAAATAACACAGAGAAAGAGCCAAAAAAGAACTAGTAGTAAAAATAATAACACAATAATATCTGGCAATTGAGAAGTTGCATATTGCACATTGTAAATTAAAAAGAGAAGAAAAAAATACTCACCGGGTTCCCGTAAGGCACACGAGTAAAATTGAGATACTTGCTGGAAAAGCGCTTCTCTACTCGAATGATCACTGATTAAGGTTTCAACCTTATATACCAGATATGGCAAGATGAATCATCGATATTGCTTTGTTAATGCAAAGACTGAGAAACATACTGGTAGTTGACAATCACTTTAAAGTCTCACTTCTGAGAGAGTGAACTGCTGGGGTACTTTTGATCTCTGCTTTATCTGTGAGCTGGCGATTTACAACCCTGTTATCTGTTAGAGACGTTCATGTGGAAGTCTCATGGTGCCAGGGACCACTGTATTGTCAAAAATTGTAATTAATATTTTTAATATTTCCTATATAACCGTATTAATATCTTGTGTTCTTTGGTGTTCGTCTTTTGTTTCGTCACGTGGACGTTATATTATTTTCTCATTACCGTTGGTCATCTTGCCCGCCTTTCGTCGCATATTAATATCGTCGCCGCCTTTTTCTGTTATCCTTATTCTCTCATTACTGTGTATATCTTTGCAGGTACGTGGTCAATTGATTTGTTAATTATTATTATTTTCATATTTATTATCGTTATCATAAAGTCAGACATTAATAGCTATGAATAAGATCATTATGATGATGATTCTTATTCTCTCAATACTGTATATCTTTTCAGCACAATGGTCTTGAAAAAACGAAAAAAAAAAAAAAAAAAACAAAGAAAAAGTGTACTTTGTTTTGAACCATTACACCTACATGATATGGTATAAGTTTACTTAGTGGAAGTCTTTGTTTAACAAAATTCACACATGGGAAGCTAAGATGTGTTATCGACATCGACAAATATATCACGTTATCACAGCTATCGCAATGTCGTTGTAATATGGTCATGAATTTTTGAGTACATTTTGTCAATGCTCACTATTGGAAGCGGTCAGGTTTTTCTCTTCAGAATGTAATAAGGTAAGACACGTAGAACACCTATAGATATGTACATATTTAGTTGTTTTATTTATTTCGATATAAGATAGTCATTAAGTCTGATGATATTAGTATAAAGTCATCTTTTATATATATATATATTGTCGACATGTACGTTATCCTTTTAGACAATTGCTTCCCTGGCCGCCACGTTGCTGTGTACGTAATCTTTAAGTTGCCGAATGTTGTGTCAGTAATATATATATATATATATTTAATTTCATAGTTTTAGTCATATTGTCGATATTTGCGTGTTCGTATTGCTCTCTCTCTCTCTCTCTCTCTCTCCGTTCTTTATTTTTGCATTTGTATTTACACTTATTGTAATATATTTATTTATTTATTTTTATTTATTTATTTTTTATTATTATTATCTATTTACGAATCAATCTAACTGTAACAATAAAATATGCTGGTCTAATACGCGGCCCTTCACAAATTGCTAAAGCGTGTTTAAATATTACTTCATAAGCATTAATTTTTTATTTAACGTACAATGTATAATCTTTAAGAACACCGAATATCAAGGATTAAAAAACAGCTCTACTATTAAAGTATTAATGATAAACATACAACCTTAGACTTAAAACGGCCATGTCTGAATGAATCATATGTAAAAAGCAAATAGCCTTTAAAAAAAATTTGCATCAGAGAGAGGGTATTCGAAATTTTATTTGGCATTTCCCTTTACTGATTTTTTTCCGCCTCAGAGCAGATAGATTAAGCATATATCTGGCCACAGATATTTGTAAAATATTTGTAAATATGGTGTTCAGCAGTTTTTGGTAGACAATACAGGGTGTTTTCAGAGATTCGAACAATGATTCTAAGAGATAATTGTTTTTGAAATTATATACATTTGAGGTTATGGGCTGAACTGAGTTTTGTTTTTGGAGTCAAATAACACAGAGAAAGAGAGAAAGTCGACATGTACGTTATCCTTTTAGACAATTGCTTTCCTGGTCGCCACGTTGCTGTGTACGTAATCTTTAAGTTGCCGAATGTTGTGTAAGTACTATAGCTATATATTTAATTTCATAGATTTAATCATATTGTCGATATTTGCGTGTTCGTATTGCTCTCTCTCTCTCTCTCTCCGTTCTTTATTTTTTGCATTTGTATGTACACTTATTGTAATTTATTTATTTATTTATTTATCTATTATTATTATTATTATTATTATTATTATCTATTTTCTTATTTTTTGTTTAGTTTCACCACCTCAGAACTCACCTCAGAACTCATTCAGAATTCAACTCAGAATTTACCTCAGAATTCACTATAGATATCGCTACAAAAAATGTGCGTGAACAATAAAGGCGAAATTTAAAGAATTGTTTTGAGTTATTGACTGGCACACAACAACAAGATATATCCTATTATAAGTAGCTTTGTACGATAATTCACACGCAGCAGTTCAAATAGTAATCTGTAAGATCTTGCTTACATGGATTTATTGGGTTGTGTCCTTACTCCATACGAGAAGACAAATAAGCATAAGGATGTCATACTCATATATGGGAGGCAAATTAAAATAGAATATCCAACGTTTCTTCCACGACTTTCTTTGTTTCATCCTAAGTCACTGGTGCCCATGTTGAGGTAAACGGCTGTATTGTGAAAATAAAACAAACATGTTAGAAGCTCCAGTAATTTTGATATATGTTTTAACAGTTTTAACACGCCATTTGACTTGTCCTCTGTGGGAGGAAAATGTACCAGAAGGTAGTTGAAGAACACACTAATATCGTACATCAAAAGCAGTTACAAAGCACTTCAAATGTCGACATTAAAGAACTTTTTTCTTTTGAATATTTATTTGATGATAGAATTTAACTTTGTCAAAGTAAACCTTTGTTCTGTGTTTGGAACACCCTTTTATTATCTCATTTCAAAAGTCTTGCTATTGTGACTAAAGGTTAACAATCACCTACCTGTCAGTATTAATGGGATAATAACTCTTCGTTTAGGCCAAAAAATGAATTGTCCTAGAGTAAACAACAATTTTCCCATACTTAGCAATGGTTAATGAATCCATTTTTACATTCAAAGTTAGTCCCTGTTTTTTTTTCTAAAAAGTTTGTTTGTTTTTTTTTTTTTTTGTTTTTTTTGTTAAAATCTCTTAAGAGATTATAACAGAGTATAGCCATCAATGGAGGTCATGTGGTCTGAAGACAAGATAAGATATCAGAAAAATAGCTAAAACTGCTGTTTTTGTCGTTAAACAGAATACATAATATTTCTATTATTACTGTGATTCACAATGTTTTTATTGTGAAATATAAACCTCATACGAAGGGTTATTATCCCTGTAACTATAAGATCAAATAGAATCCTTCGCCTCCATTACGACAACATGGTTCTGATCGAGTTTTATTCATATTGGACACCTGGTGCCAGACTAATTGTAATTGGAGGGGTTTCAAATCGTCCAGTGAACGTCTAATTTTGTTGTTTATGTTAGGGGAAACATTAACGTAGACTAGAGATATAATTTGTGCAAAATAAATGGGCAAAATACACTTGTCATTTCACACCATTGCATATGACTGAACAAACCTGTTGATTTTGTTTCTACTTAAACGGTAAAATAATGTATATCAGAATGATGCAGCCCAAAACTGTCCAACAGAGCTTTTTATCACGTGCATGTGTATCACTGCATGACAACTGATGACAGAAAGATAAAATCTCCAAAAACCCACACCTAACAAAAAATACATTTTTAGTATTTGATATTTTCAAAATGAACTCCCGATCTGTGTGTTTTGAGAAAGGAATCATTAGTTGGTCATGTTTCTGGAAGAATGTGAACATTCCAAGCCATTCTGATAGTCTTCAAGTGATTAACGACCGATTTTACTAGGTGGGAAAGTGTGACTTTTGTCTTTCAAACCATTGGTTTTCTTATTTTGGCTCATCCTGTAGCGCACTGAATGATGTTTGTTTCATTCAAGGTGTTTTGTTGTTACCAAAAGCGTTAATATCGAGCTGTGAGAATAAATAATGGCGTAACGTGGACGAAGACTGGCTTATAAACAGTAGTCACAAAGCCAGTGACAAATGTAAAAAACTACTCAAAGCATTTCTTCCCTACCAATATTTCAACAGAAATATCAACACAGATTCATTGCAATTCCGTTTAATTAAAGAATGGGCGTTTCTCTCATTTCACTATCAATCTTAAAACCGGAAACAAATTTCAATCCAGTCCTCTTCTTTGTCAGACCTTTCATATTGTCTCAATATCAATTAACCCTGTGGTTCCTTACCATATCTGAAAACAAAACAAAAGGTAATATAAAATTTTTCAAGACGGATAAATGGAGTCAAGTTGAAAACCCCAAGTCCAATTCATTTTGCAAAACAGTTACTTAAAATTAAAAACGAATTTTGAATCTATGAAGAAATACTTAGTTGCTAACAGTGTTTTTTCTCTTTCCCTTTGGAAAGGAGAAGGTGGGCATCCCTTTAGCAACTGTAGCAAAAGTAATCAAATTTGACAGGCAAAATGGAAGTGGCATGTAATACGTTTTTCAAAATGTGTTTATGTTTAATTCATATCTGCACGAAAACATGTCATGAAATCATTGCGCATAACTTTGGCTTGATAACATTGGCAATCTGTTGAATATGAAACATACCCCCAAACAAATAAATCGGCGCCATGATTTATAAACAAAAGCCTGACTCCTAGATAGTGTACTCAACAACATGTGCATTTTACGTTGCAATCAGGAAATAATCATCCATACACGTTCTAAAATCATTCATCCCTAATGCCAACGATATTGTTACGCTTAATATACGCCGCTTAAATGAAGTCATGTAGCCATGTTTTCTCCTTACCTGTCTGCATCAACATCTTTATTTCTGTGAGCATCTTCCACGGATCTTTTATTAGTGCAGTCACATTTAGCAAGCCACCCAACAGTGCCGTTATTGATGATCTTGCTAAAATGTTAAGATATACATAATTAATTATTTGAATTTTAGCAATTAAAAAATAGAGGATACAAGTACTCAATATATGGTGTGTAATACAGGACAGAAAGAGGCACCGAACACACTGAAAATATTTCAAGTTTATCCTTATAAGACCTTAGTATTTGGGTGCGGTAGAAGTACCTTTCAAATGGTATACTGTAACAAGACGTTAGTAACGTGATGTCCGCAGTATTTAATGTAAAAGAAATTCATCTATGTACATCACAGTGGTATCATTTCTACAAAAAGGTATATTAAAACATTATGCATACACGTATTACTACACTGTCATAAATCTAACCAACATGTATGTAAGATTATTCAATAGAGAACTATTAAGTAAATATTGATGGAAAAAAGCCCATCAATTTGATCCCAAATGCCAATTACCTGTAACTGCTCATTTTATAACCGCAGTTCTTTCGACATCCACCGTCGCAAGCACAGCCGAATATATTACATTTCCCGTACCCACAGTATGGGGTTTTCTGAAATGCAATGCATATATTCAAAATGTAATCCCTTCACCTTCAATACAGCAATCTACAACGTTGTCGTCGTACGGTATACTTCATAGACAGAGACTTCATATTCATGAAGTACGTGCCTGTACATGTCTGCCAGGAGGGAGAGATACTGTTGTCATATTAGTGTGAATCAATGAAGGAGCTGATTATAGCTTTTGCATATTGTGAATTTCCTGCCAAAAAGTCTCCAAATAACGACTAGGATTAACCAGCTATCTTTCTTAATGAACTGCTACAGCTGAAGACGTCCTCGATAGGTGGCGGTATAACTCGTCGAGTAACACGTGGAACAAAACGCCAGTTCCATTAAAGAAAAATAATTGTATCTTACTCTTGTGCAATCATAACAGAACCCTTCTCGCGGTATCGAATAACAGCAATCTGCTTGAGTTTCCCTCAGAACACTGCCTGTCAAAATGACTGCAATCAGTAGGACACCAAGATAACCGGTCATTTTCTGAATTTCTGAAGAAAGTTATCAAATATTAATGCTGAAAAGAAATCAATAATACATAGAACATAATACGGAACTGTGAAAAATGATATCTCGCAAGTTTTTGAGTTCTTCTTGTTGTTGGTGAAATGCAAATTGCAGTGCAGTTGTTTTTAAAAGCTGCATCACAGGTAGGTCAGAATGTGGGTGAAATTTTATAGAATATGACTACAATGCCAAACACAACATGTTATGGAAGGAATAGCTTAGAATGTCTGCTAAAGCAAGCCATGTGAGCGTCTTTTTTGGTGACTCCTACACAAGCAGATCCAATCTACCAAATCCACTACCAAACCCCTGTGCATGTTGCCGAATTTTTGAAACTACGTTGCGAATTGGAACTCGAATCCCTTACGTAATCGTACCGTATATATGTAGTTGAATAAAGTATGTTAAATGTGAAATTTTAACCTTTCCCGCTTCCGCTGAAAAGTGTCTGCTAACTTCAAGGAAAATTGCACAATTAACTTCCGATATACATCTCAACTTTTGAATAATATCTCGAAAACGTGACAGGATATGTATAAATCTGTTATTTTACCAAAGAATAAAACATATTCATCGTAAACCCCTGGTACAGGTGTGGCAGGACTGCCCGTCCTAGTAAGCCCGCCCGGACACTAAGTCCTGGGAATTCAAGTCCTAGGGCATGCATTGCTAGGAATGGAAGTCCTAGGACATACGTTACTAGGATTCAATGTCCGTAGGACAAAGGCTCCCAAGTAATGTAACTCCTACGTGTAGTAATGACTACAATGCCAATGAATTAATGAATTAATTAATGAAGAAACAAAAACAATTTATTTATTTTATGTGTATTTTCATCTAGTAAACGCACATTTTGACGTGTCCTAATGGGACGTGCGTTCCTGGCATTTTAGTAACGCATGTCCTATATACATGTAGTTTAAAGTTACACCAAGAAATGACATGAATAAATGGATATAGAGACATACTAGTTTTAAAGATATAATAAACGTTTGCTTTATTCTATTTATATGACATTTTATATTTATATTTTACAATGTTTTTATTTTCCGATAGGCAGTTTATGTGCATATTAATGAAGAAACAAAAACAATTTATTTATTTTATGTGTATTTTCATCTAGTAAACGCAAATTTTGACGTGTTAACACATGTTTTTGGCGCACTCCTCCCTCAGTGAACAATATGTATGAGCCTGGTTTGCCCTATATTTTTTTAACAAAATAAGGCACCATCCAAATTCATCCCTTATTTTCATCCTTTGAGGTATATGTACAGTGTATTTTATTTCATGTCCTTTTCTACTGGGGTGTACCTTTTGTGTTTTGCGTCGAAATTCTTTTTTTTCTCTCTCTCTCTCTCTTTTTCAAAACCTTATGCCTAAGAGAAAAAATCACTTTACACAAAACGCGGGATCTCCGATCTTAGATTTATTTTTCTGTTTACACTCGCTGAAATTGAAAAATAACCTCAAACTCGATGGAAATTTGCTCATGTAAAGTATGGGCAGAGATTTAAGACAAACAAGACAGTGTAGAAATTAAAAATTGCATATATGTATATAATGTTCTGTAATAACCCTTTGCTATTTTGGTGCCTTGACACTTAAAAGACAAAACAAACACATTCGAACACATATTAGACATTAAAAACATCATTAAACATTTTGCTACAAGTAATAAATAGGGGACAGGGCGGCGTGGAAGTTCAAGTCAACGGTAGGTCTAGAAACCATAGGTAAAACAGAATGATTCATGTATTCATATCTTGTGGTCCTGCACGTTAACTATTACACAGACGAGAAGAAGTTGTAAACCTCTTATTTTTTGTCTGATACATGGCTCATTTTTTCATTAAACAGTATTATTTCCTAAGGATAGGACTTTCAAATGCCCGGACTTATATTACTGTCATAGGTGTAACAGGATTAAAAGGCTGACAGTAATACAAGTCCTACCTACTCTTATTATGAGCCAGGAACCTAAGTCCCTGTAGGACTACTATTCCCAAGTAATGTTAGTCCTACGGACAACCATTATCAGGAACCGAGGTCCACAGGACCTCGGTTCCTGGAAGACTTGGATTACTGTTACACCGGCTTCTCAAAGTAGTAAAATATTTAAACACGACCTGGGCAAACCACCTGGGCAAACGGATAAACAAAACTGCATCATGTTACAGACAAGTAATATGTTTGATTTGACGAATCACTATGTTCGATTTAACGAATCACACTCACTTCAACCAAAAAATATTCTGTTAAAATACATGGCCCTTTTAATTGGTAAATAGTGTTTAAGTATTATTTCATAATCTCTGAAATTTATTTTTATTTGACATATAATGCATCATTTTACACATAAAACAATGCAGATCAAGCTTTTGAAAATCAGCTGAGATGTACTCAATAGCAAAAATGATAAACGGATTTATTCAAGACTGAGAACACCCGTGACTGAATGAGTACTAGATGGTTGTACTGCTAAATGCAAGTCTAAAATTCATACCGGCAGAAACAAGTAAAATTTAAGTTTGGTATCTGAGAGAGAGGAAAATTTAAATATTATTTGGCGATTCTCTTTACCTCAAAAGTCTTTCGCCTCAAGGCAGGTCGACTAAGCATAAATCTGGCCATAGATATTTGCAAATGTGGAGTGCAGCAGTTTATGATAGGAAGACGAGGGTGTTTCCAGAAATTCGAAAACCAATTCTAAGTTAAATGTTTATCTTGAGGTTATACAAATTTGAAGACAACGTTCTAAACTAAGTCTCGTCTTTGGAGTCAAATAACGCGGAGAAGGAGCCACAATCATAAAATCATAACAATCCAATGCTGTACGTACAGAAAAAGCACTAGCCAATTGTAACCACAAAGTAAAGAAAATATACTCACTGGATCCCTGTAAGGCAAACGAGTGAACTGAAGGCACTTGCTGGGTATGAGCTTTTCGATATGAATGATCACCAATGAATGTCGCAGCCTTATATCACACCTACTGCAAAAGGAATCAACGATATTGCTTTGACAATCACAAAACTGAAAAACATACTGGTAATTACCAATTACTTCAAAGTCTCACTTCAGCAAAGTGGAAGTGATGGGGTCTTTTTGATCTCTGTGTGCTATACTTAATGCTTCAGACACTCATTAAATTGTTCAGACATTACCTTTATCGAAGCAGTCACTAATTTCTCGATTAATACAGCGCAATATCTTAACTTTCTTACATAACTTTTGTTATTTCACCCTTTTGTTATTCCATCCCTAAACGCGTGTACATGTGGAGCTGTATTTCGGAAATGACAAAAACGTACAAGTAACTCTAGTCATTGTAATATATGTGCAGCAGTATATAAATATGAAAGCAATATTTGGTTTGCTTTCTGTGATGAGAAAAAATATACTGGTAAGCAGTGTATAAGAACTCTAAAGTTGTTCATCAAAGAAAGTTATCCTTTTGAAAATAATACAGAAAAAATGGCTAGTTACAAAGCCCTTCAATGTTCGACATTAAAGGATATTTTTCTTTTGAATTTTTATTTGATGATACAAACTTTGTAAAAGTAAACCCATGACAACCCCATACGCCATACGGCAGAAGGGCAAAATTAAATTAAATGTTGAGAACTCTCAACACGATGTTCTTCACTGCACCCTAAAACATTCATATCTTTGATAAAAGGAACATCAAACTAAAGAAATAGAATAGACATAGCTTTAGTGTTATCTTATTTCAAAACCCATGCGATGGTGAATATCGGTATACCTTCACCGACCTGTCAGCATTAATCATAACGTTAAATGGAACTCGTCACCCCTTGTCAGGACAACATGGCGCTGATCGAGTTTCATTCGTACAGTATTGAACTTCTGGTGCCGTCGTCATTGTGCAAGAGGGATTCTTAATTGTCCATTTATTGTTAAATTATGTTGTGTTTGGAGAAACTTTAGTATACTAGAAACATAATTTTTCCCAAGGATGCTATTTTAAACTGATCAATTTGAACATAATATAACTGAAAGCAAACCTGGACAGCTTTTTACGCGCAAGGTGTTGTGATACAGGCTTACAGCATTATCAGCTTCTGAATCTCCCTTTGAACATCCGTCAAATCCCAGGCAGGGAGGGCCGTAGTCATCCCCCACTCCCCAGAAAGGGCGGTTTCCCCACAATTTTTTTGGGTAGAAATATTCACTTTTATCTGTCAGGAGTCTATTCTAGACGATGATGTAAACATGTATATCCTCCATAATACAATGCGGGGATATTTTTATGAAGGATGTCACTCGCGGTAGGTGTCTACTTACTTTAGCGACATTATACCAGTTTACTTAATTAAGTTAATTGTTGCTGATGCAAAATCCCTGATCACGTCATTGAATATATATATGCCTGTTTTCTAAATTGCGTTATAGGGAATGGAAAAAGCAATGTTTGAGCTTAGAACACCCCAACAAGCTAATCCTGGTTTTCCTTCAGCTACTGCAGTTCTAGCTGTGCCCCATGATTTTTATAAATACCGATGATGAGTGATGGAGACCAAGGAATTCGGCTTGATAGACCATCGAGATCGTTGGGATAACCCCTTGCATCTTCAAGGGGAACCCGGCGACCACTCTATTGCTTGTTTTAACTGAGGCATGAGCCAACCTCCCCAAACAATACGGAACTCATAATCTGAACCCCGAAGCCCAATACGATATTCCTGTTGGACTTTTATTGGTAGATAACGAATTTTGTTGGGGATGATATGTGAGCAGTATTATTATAAAGTTGTTATAGACAATCATAATAATCAGCAATGATGTTCGGGCATGATTTACATAAGCAAACCGTAAATTGCATTGATATTACACCCGGTTAATTGCTGTGACGTGCATGTCCGTTATTTTGTAGACGTCATGGTATAGAAAAACTTGTACTTTGTGGGAAAACTGAAGGAAGAAGAAGAGGAAGGCAAAGGACATACATCATATATTGACAGCCTTTATGCCCCCCTCTGCCCCCCCTCCAAATGTCTACTGTTAATACAGAGTAAACTGGAGGAACATGATCATCGATGCCTACACCAGGCCTGACACTTGAAGAAGAAACATAGGCAAAGTTACATTGTAGATTTATCTTTGAATTACTTACATATACATGTAGATGGCGGCCTCGACGTTCTCTAATCTTGGTCTCAAAAGCAAACATAACTAGAGGATCAGAGAGGCGATACCGCCTCCGGGAATTGTACCACCAGCTGGAGTAAGCGCATTCGTATAAAAAAGCAAAAATAAGGAAACCACCTCTAGTGTTGTGCTTGACAAGATCTACAAAATGTTTTCTAGAGTTCCATATATTTTTCATTAAAAATTACAATTTAAAACAAAATCATGGGGAAGAGTAAAGTTTACATCCAAATTTTTCAAGTTCAATAGTAACTTTGACATATTTTTGCTAGTTTTGGAGATATAACAGATAGGAAGGTTGTAATTTTCAGCTCGCGATGAAAAGGTCTAAGGTCAATTATAAGGTAATGGTTAAATTGTCAGTATATGACTTCCTATTCAAGTTCAATAGTAACTATGGGCCTATATGTGCCAGTTCTTGGGAAATAAGGGACTAAAATGTTCAAAACTTCAGTTCATGGTGAAAAGTAGGTCAATTTCAAGGTCACAGTATGCATCGTTTAGGCCATTATGACAGTCTTCAAGTGATTAAAGAGCCGATTGTGCTAGGTGGGAATGTACGACTGTTTGTCTTTTGAACTGTTGGTTTTGTATTGTGACTTTTGGCTCATTCTTAAGTCCAGTGAAGGTATTTTTTTATTACCTAAGACTTTGGTGCTGTAACAAGTTTGTAAGCAAAAATGACGGCGTAAATTGGATGAGGACTGACTTATAAGCAGTAATTTCAAATCAAGCGACGGGCTTCTAATGCTTTTCTTTTAAAACTACCCAAAGTTTTCATTCCCTACCAAAATTTGAATAAAAACATCAACACAAATGCAATGCAATTCCGTTTAATTAAAGAATGGGCGTTTCTCTGATCTCACTTTTAATCTTAAAATCGAAACAAATGTCAATCCAGTCCTCTTCTCTCTCAGCCCTTTCATCTTGTCTCAGTGTCAATTAACCCTGTGGTTCCTGACCATATCTGAAAACAAAACAAAGCGTAATATATATTTCAAGAGAGGAAGGATCAAGCCAAGTTGAAAATGGCAAGCCCAATTCATTTTGCAAAACAATTACTTAAAATTAAAAACGATTTTGAATCTATGAAGAAATGCTAAGTTGTTTTAAAACACTGATTTTTCTTTTTCCCTTTGGAAAGGAGAGGGTGGGCATCCCTTTAGCAACTGTAGCAAAAGTAATCAAATTTGACAGGCAAAATGGAAGTGGCATGTAATACGTTTTTCAAAATGTGTTTATGTTTAATTCATATCTGCATGAAAACATGTCATGAAATCATTGCGCATAATTCTAGCTTGATAACATTGACAATCTGTTGAATATGAAACATACCCCCCAAACAAATAAATCGGCGCCATGATTTATAAACAAAAGCCTGACTCCTAGATAGTGTACTCAACAACCTGTGCATTTTACGTTGCAATCAGGAAATAATCATGCATACACGTTCTAAAATCATTTACCCATAATGCCAACGATATTGTTACGCTAAATATACGCCGCTCAAATGAAGTCATGTAGTAATGTTTTCTCCTTACCTGTCTGCATCAACATCTTTATTTCTGTGAGCATCTTCCACGGATCTTTTATTAGTGCAGTCACATTTAGCAAGCCACCCCACAGTGCCGTTATTGAGGATCTTGCTAAAATGTTAAGATATACATAATTAATTATTTGAATTTTAGCAATTAAAAAATAGAGGATACAAATGCACAGTTTATGATGCGTTCGTAATGAATGGCAGAAAGAGTTACCCAAGGACAATGAAAATATTTCAGGTTTATCTTTATAAAACCTTAGCATTCGAGTCAGTTTGAATACTGTAACAAGACGTGTATGGACGTCACAGTGGTGCCAATTCTACAAAAGCTATATTAATACATTATGCATACACGTATTACTGTACTGTGTCATTAATCTAAACAAAAGATTATTCAATATAAAATATTTGGGTAAAGTGAGATGGAAATACACCAATCTTCATAAACCAAATTTAAAACAAACAGGCAAATACCTGTAGCTGCCGAGTTTATAACCACAGTCCTTTCGGCATCCATCTTTGCAAGCACAGCCGAATATATTGCATGACCCGTATCCACAGTACGGAGTTTTCTAAAATGCAGTGTATGTATTCAAAAGACAAATACAAATCCCAACATCCTCAAAATCATAGCTTTCTTTTATTATTTTGAATTCTCTGCTAAAAAAATCCCGATATTACTATGACCTACCAACTGTCTTTTGTAATAAATTGTTATATTTATTTAGGGGGGGGGGGGGGCTTGG